TAGTGAAGAAGTCACTTGTTCCAGGATCAACTTAGAAATGAAACTTTGGTGACATTGTGCTTGGGATGCTTTCAATAATGATTTACAACCAAATACATTCTTAAATAAAATTGTGTGTTATATAATATTTAGACTCCCCACTGGTTAGAGTTTATCTTGATTTCTGTCTCATCACATTTGCACCTGAGATACCACATGCCCCCCCCCATGAAGATAAGTTGGAAGGCTTTCAAGGGAGAACAGCCAAAGTAATTAGGAGCTGAAAGAATTGATTTATGAGCCAAGATTAGAAAAGATAAATGCATTTTGTTTGGCTAACAGACAAATAAAAGTGTAGAGAAGTCAATCAGCTAGTAAGCAGCAGTGTTTGAAAAGTAGGGAGGAGGGGGGAGCTGAGGAAGGAAGGAAAGAGCTGGTAGCGTCACGGGGGTTGGTGTCACCCAGTGTGGTAACTCTTGGTGTCACACACCCTCCTCCATGGACCTCCTCCCGTACCAGACCTTACAGAATCCTTAGTAATATTTATTACCAATTTTAATCATAGAATGATGTGATAAATACAGCTGTAAATTGCTTAAATGTAATATTTCTTAGACCATATGAGTATTAACAACAAACTCGTTTTGTAAGATCTTTTTACATTGAATTAGAACATTGTTAATTATAATATTATTAGTAACTGAGCAGAAATCTTTTTTTAAAAAAATTTTCTTTTCTTTCCCTTTTATTACTACTTCATTCTCAAAGTTATTGATATAGGCTCACAAATACTCATTACCAGAATATTGTGGCTAAAACACTAGAAAATTTGACCAAATTTGACTACACCACCAGCAGCAACAAAAACAACAGTGAGTGCTTATAGTGCATGCAGATGAAGCCACGTGATTCGAAGCATCATTGTAATTGACTACTAATGACAGCTCTGACTTGAGTACATTGAAGGTTCAAATAGTAAATTAGCAGAGTTTTAGCCTTATAGGTATATTGATACATGGGCTTAGGAAAAATGTTTTTGTTGTTATAACTAACTACAGGGAGATTTTTATAAAAATATAATACATTTCTGCTGAAACACTGCATAAAAATTTTATAGACAGTCATTTTGGTGTAACCCCCCTGACAGTGTCTCTCAGTGCAGTCTGCACCCCCACATCTCCCTAGTGAGGCCACAGAAACAACAGCATGAAAAACCCCAGGGAAGAGGAGAAAGGAGGAGGAAGCTTACATGCATCTCCCATGATGCCCTCCTGCAGAAAGGTGGGGCATCTGTGGGTCAGAGAGCCCCAAAGGGAGTAGTAGTACCCTGATGTTGTTGGGTGTCGTTGAGTTGATTTTCAACTCATAGTGACCCTGTGTGACAGAATGGAACTGCTGTTAGGGTGTTCTTTTTCTTTTTCTTGTTTTTTTTGGAAGTGGTCATCCAAGGCACAATTGGTCTTTATTCATGTGGCACAACAGAGCTAGAAGAAGGAGAGTCAGGAATAGGTAGAGGATGTAGAATGTGTGTCTAATTGCCTCCATGAACACCTGCCTCTTTTGCCATGAGATTGGAAGAACTTGATGGTGTCCAGCTACCATTACTGAACATATATAGAAGAATCCTGATCAAAAGGGGGAAAATTCAGAAATTCAAATTCTCATGGACTCCAGACCTTCTGGAGCCATAGGGGCTGGATGAACTCTTGAGATTTTTTTTTCTTTTCTTGATTTTTTTAAAATGCATTTTATTGAAATATAATTTATGTACAGTGAAGTACACAAAACTAAAGTGACATGGGTCAATGCATTTTTTTTTTTATTTTGCAGTGTTCCCTCCCCTCCCCTGCCACCCCTGGCAACCAACAAAGAAAGTTTCCCTCCATATATAAACCTTTCCTTGACCCTCCACAACCACGAACTAATACTATATTTGTCCTTCTGTGGTTGACTTAATTTCACTTGGCATAATGTCCTTCAAGTTCATCCATATTATGTGGTGTTTTGCAGACTCTACATTATTCTTTAGTGCTGCATAGCATTCCATTATGTGTATGTACCATAGTTTGGTCATCCACTCTTCCGCTGATGGGCAAATAGGTTGTTTCCATCTTTTTGCTATTGTAAATAGTGCTGTGATGAACATGAGCATGCATGTTTCTGTTCCTATCCTGGCTCTCACGTGTCTAGGATATATACCTAGTAATGGGATTGCTGGTTCAAATGGTATCTCCAATTCCAACTTCCTAAGGAATCGCCATATTGCTTTCCATAGTGGTTGTGTCTTCACAGTCACACAAGCAGTGTATGAGAGTCCTAATCTCTCCACATCCCCACCAGCATTTGTTATTTTCTGTCTCATTGAACCTTGCCATCAGTGCTGGGGTGAGACGGTATATCTCATTTTGCTCTCTGATGGCCAATGATTGTGAGCATCTTTTCATGAATTAGCAGACCACCTGAATATCCCCCTTGGTGAAGTGTCTATTCATGTCTTCTGCTCATTTTCCAATTAGATTGTTAATTCCTTTGGTGTTGAGGCGTTGGAGTTTTCCATCAATCTTAGAGATAAGTCCCTTGCAAGACACGTAATTATCATCAAATATGAATTTGTTGCTGTCATTTTTGTCATGTGCTTTTTCATTGTGTCGATTTCTTTGTTTCATATAATTTTCTTTGCTGAGCTCGTTTTGTTTATGAATCATATTATCACTTCCTTCATTGCTATTGTTTTAGTGTTTGCTGAATATTTATGCTGGCTGTTAGGGTGTTCTTGCCTGTGATTTTCCTGGAAGCAGTTGCCAGATCTTTCTGCCATGGAGCTGCTGGGTTCTAACCACCAACCTTTCATGCTGACAGCTGAGTGCTTAACCCTTGCACCACCAGGGTTCGCTGTTGTTATGTGCCATTGAGTCAGACCTGACTCATAGTGACCCCTCCTTGGGTTTCCGAGGCAGTATCACTACGGAAGTAGATTGCCCAACCTTCTTTCCCAGGAATGGTTGGGGGGTTTGAACTGCCAGCCTTCTGGTTAGCAGTCAAATGCCTTAGGTGGGTTCTTTAGTAGTACCTTAAAAAAAAAAAAAAACCTACCATCAAGTTGATTCCAACTCATAGCGACCCCCATTGGGTTTCTGAGGTGGTAAATCTTTATAGAAGGAGATTGCCGAGTCTTCCTTCTGCAGAGTGGCTGATGAGTTTGAACCACCAGCCTTCTGGTTAGCAGTCAGATAGATGCCTTAGGCACTGTGCTACCACAGCTCCTTTAGTAGCACCTTCGCACTGCTGTTGAGTAGGATCTGACTCACAGAGACCCTCCTTGGGTTTCTAAGGTAGTATTGCTATGGAAGTAGTTTGCCCAACCTTCCTTCCGAGGAGCAGCTGGGGGTTTGAACCACCAGCCTTTTGGTTAGCAGACAGATGCATTAGGCACTACTCCACCAGAGCTCCTTTCCCCCTTGAATATTATATTTTATTCCTGAGGCAGCGAGGAGCACTCATATTTAAGCTCTGGAGTCAATCACTTTTGTGCTTTGGAAATATTCCAACTATTGATTTAAGGTCTAAAGATTAGCACAGGGTAATAATTTTGGAGGTACATTCAACAACAGAAGAGGGAGAGTCAGGAATAGGAGGAGGATATGGAATGTGTGGGTAATTGCCTCCATGATCAACTGCCTCCTCTGCCATGAGACCAGCAGAATTGGATGGTGTCCAGCTACCATTATTGAACATTTTGATCAAAGATTCTAAACAAGAATCCTAATCAAAATGGGGAAAATACAGAACAGAATTTCAAATTCTCATGGAATCCAGACTTTCAGAGCCATTTTAATTTTTTTTTTTTTTTTTGAATGGAATGTTTGTATCCTTTGCTCATTTTTTTCTATTGAGTTGTTTGCCTTTCTCTTATTGATCTGCAAGATCTTTTCATGTATTAGGAAACTTATTCCTTTGTGGGAGAAGCCCTGGTGAAACATTGGTTAACTGCTTGGGGTCTAGACTAGAGGGTTGTTGCTATTGTTGTTAGTTGCTGTCACGTTGATTCCGTGGTGTGCTGAGTCCAACTGCTCCAAAGGGTTTTCAAGGCTGTTACCTTATAGAAGCAGATCACCAGGCCTGTCTTCTGAGGTGCTCTGTGTGGGTTGGAACTGCCAATCTTTCAGCTAATAGTTAAGTGCTTAACTGTTTGTACCACCCAGTGACTCCTTTGGATTGGGAGGTGGGGGCGAAGCAACTGGAGACATAAAGACAGTCCAGACTGTTAGAATAGTCAAGGTGAAGGCTGAGAATGGTCTGAACTAAGACCACAGCAGTGGGGATGGATTAGAGGGAAAAGATATGAATGAAGGAGAGGTTAAGGAAGGAGTTACCAGTTGGTCGTGAAGGAGCTTTGGTGGTGCAGTGGTTAAGGCATTTGGCCATTAATCAAAAGGTGGGTGGTTTGAACCCACCAGCCACACTGCAGAAGAAAGATGAGGCAGTCTGTTTCCATAAAGATTTATAGCCTTGGGAATGCAGTGGGTTTGCTGTGAGATGGAATCTACTGGATGGCAGTGGATGAGTTGGTCGTGGGGTGAGGAAGAGAACAGGAATCATATCCATCTCCCAAGCCTCTGCGTGGGGACCAGGGCCATCTGGAGACACCTAAATGAAACCTGATTCACTGCGATTTTACGATTCTGAATAAAGGTCTTGAGAAGACACTTTTTTGAATCTTCTCTTTTTTTGCCATGTTAGTGTTAATGGTCATCACTCTTTTCTTTGGGTAAAAGCCCTTTCATTTCCTCAGACATGTCACTCTTTTTGCAGAAGCAATTGCAGCAGTTTTAATACTTCAGCCCTTTATTTCTGGAAAGTCTGTGCCTGTCCCTTTGGGTTCTTTAAACAGTAGCGTCTTTGTGCAATTTTCTGGACTCGTCAGGCTTGCTGAAGTGCTTGTAAGTGTATGTTGTTCAAGGTGATGAAGGACTTGATTGGGAAGCTGATGACTAACTTGTTAAACCCTCTTGTCATTTCAGGCTGCTCTGGCGGGGGGCACCACGATGATCCTTGATTTTGCCATTCCTCAGAAAGGCGACTCCCTCATTGAGGCCTTTGAGACCTGGAGAGGCTGGGCTGACCCCAAAGTCTGCTGCGACTACAGCCTTCACGTGGCAGTGACATGGTGGAGTGACCAGGTGAACCACATGGGGTGTGAATTGGTTCCATATAGCCCCATAGTCTGTGCTCTACACACGAGACAGGATTAGGGTCTGACATACCTTAGAATTTTTATTGAGTTGTTGATCTTTGATCAAAATGTTCAATAATGGTAGCTGGACACCATCCAATTCTGCTGGTCTCAAGGCAGAGGAGGGAGTTGATCATGGAGGCAATTACCCACACATTCCATACCCTCCTCCTATTCCTGACTCTCCCTCTTCTGTTGTTGAATGTACCTCCAAAATTATTACCCTGTGCTAATCTTTAAACCTTAAACCAAAAATATCCTGATGTATTCTGAAAACCAAACAATAATTTAGCTTAACCAGTGAAGACTGTTTGCCCCAAGCATTATGGTCTTTGGAGATCTATATATGAGACCAGCAACTTAGGAACCTTAGGGGGTAGTGAGCTCATGTTAATGGGGAGGAGCAACTCAGAAACGGAGACTGAGAATGGTTGCACAACTCAAAGAATGTGCTCAATGTCACTGAACTGTACATATAGAAATTGTTGAATTGGTGTATGTTTAGCTGTGTGTATTCTCAACAAAAAATGAAATAAATTCTAAAAAAAAAATGGCTCTGAAGCAAGTGCAATCTCACTCATTTTAAAAAAACAAGAGTACATAAAATAACATTTTTCTCTCATCATATTGGCAAGGAGCAAAAAGTTAGATGACATGCTATTGTGGCTCAGTTTGAAAATGTGAAGAATGTTAATTTGGTAATATGAAGGGTGGTTGGCAGTACCCATAATAATCACAGTGTAATGTTAATACCCATCATGAGCACAGTGTATATGTACTTTTGACGCTGAATTTCACTTCTAGGAATGTATCCTTTCACTAGGGTGAAAGGGGTTAAATTTCAGTATTTGTAAGGGCGTAACAATGGAAATAACCTAAATGCTCGTTAATAATGAATGGACCAACCAAGTAATGGCACAGCTTTACAGTGGAACACACAGTGAATATTGTGCCGACAGCTGTTTTGCGTTACAGTGGCATATTAGCAAGATAAATCAGAAAAAGCAAAATGCAGAAGAATGTTGGGCTATGATACAGGGTGAAAAACCAAAACCAAACTCATTGCTATCAAGTCAATTCCAACTCATAGCGACCCTCTTTGGGTTTCCGAGGCGGTAAATCTTTATGGAAGTAGATTGCCCAGTCTTCCTTCCATGGAGTGGCTGGTGGATTTGAACCACTTCTGGCTAGCAGTCAAATGCCTTAGGTACTATGGCCCCAGAGCTCCTTATACAACATAAGCATAGGGAAAAATTGCATTCTTTGCTTGTACATACATAGAATATCTTTGGAAAAAAACACAAGAACTTGGTAGTGGCAAAACAAAAACGTAAGAAACTGGTAGTGTTCATTGCTTCCTGGGAGCCTGGAGATCGTTCAGGGGAGACTTCATTGCACATTCTTCTGGACCCTTTGAATTTTGAATCCTGTGAAAGCATTGTCAATTTACAAAACTAAAATTACCAAGGTAATACAAAAATGATGGGATAAATCCTTTATGCCCACTCGCAATAGCCTTTTCTAATATTTAATTCATGAATTGTAAAAATATAATTTGACCATTATACAATAATGCATAAACACAATTTCAAAGGTATTGACCTCTCTTTTTCTCAACTTCATCATCTCTAGAATCCTAAACATTATTTTCCAATTTTGGAGCTTCAATTAGAAATGTTTAATTTCTGGGGAAAAAAAATCAAGAAATTAACACTTGAAACTAGATGCTGCCATTCCCAGTCCTAACTCTTCATTTTTGTCTGTGCATTGGAGAGAGGAAGGGAGAGACCAGACACGTTTCCAAGGCTGTCCCCCACTATCCGCTGACTCAGCCGGCCTTCCTACGGTCTCACCATTTCACAGCAAAGCTGAAACTGCCTTCTAATTACTTAGGCCGCGGTAGAAATAGTACCATGATTCAAATAGACAAGACAGCTTTGAGAGATGCTCAAACGTTTTAAATTCCTCCCCAATGTGAATTTGTATGTGTGCTTTGGAAGAAACTTACTTGTGATTTAAATCAACATTATAACTTTTTTCCCTCCACTTTGGACTTAATTCAGAAATCTTTTGGCCAGAGAAGGTTCACAACTTTGATTTTATTTGAAGATTACCAGGGAAACTCTGACTTTACCCGGACAACCCGTGCCCCAGGCCCCAAGCCCCTCAATTGGGCTTTAAGCACTAAGTGAATGTAAAACAAGAAATCAGTCTGTAACAGATAGTTCAGCAAACTTAATAGCAGTGTTCATAGCCCATGACTAAAGTTAAATTTTCTCCAAAACAGCTGCTGTAAGTGATGTGTCTGATCTCTTTTGTGCCTTTAGTCACTCCTTCCTTCCTTCTTCCCAGTGTTGACACTAAGGAGCAGTAGGGCGTGTGGACCATACTGGGTGACACTGTCAGAGGGGTAACGCCTAAATGAATGTCCATAAAATTTTTGTGTAGTGGTTCAGCAGAAATTTATTATTTTCAATTAAAATATCCCTGTAGTTAGTTAAAACAAAAACATTTTTCATAAGCCCAGCTTGCAATATGCCTACAAGGCTAAAATTTCATTCTAATTTACTTTTTGAAAAGTCTTCTTTTTTTAAATTAATTATTTTTTGTTGTGCTTTGGGTTAAAATTTACAGAGCAATTTCATTTTCCACACAACAGTTCATACACATTTTGTTTCATGACATGGATTGTAATCCCCACAATGTAACAGCTCTCCTCCCACTTCCCCACTGTGGTTACCTTTTCCCTATGTCTTTCTCTCCTATGCATTCCTGCCCCAGGAGCTGACTCCCTGTGCACATACTGCCCTTCTGATCTCCCATGTGAATCTTCTTCTTCTTTCGGTTAGTAGCTGCATGTATTAAGAGCTTGCACCAACCTGGGACTCCCTTACAAATCACTTCTCTAGCCCTGAACCTATAGCTTTTCTCTCCAGTTCACAACCATGAGCCTGCATGACTGCTAGGACAACAAAGTTATAGACTAGAGCCAGATTGGCCACAGTAACTTGATTCTATTCAGAGGATCTCCACTCTGGGAGTTCTCAGAACAATAAGCTACACAATAAATTATTTTGGGAACATGTGAAAGAGTACTTGGAGTTGGGAACCCTGAGTTCAAATCCTGCCTCTATGACATTGTGGAAGCTTCAACTCCTTGTCTACAAAATTGGGATGATGTTAGGGCCTATCTCAGTGCATTGCTGTGAGGATTACACGAGATAAGAATGTGTTTAGCACTGTGTGTGAACTGTGGTTAGATTCTTGATAAATGCTGGTTTAGCATAAACCAATGATAGACCAGAACCAACCTGTTAATGTCTAGTCAATTCCTATGCAGTGACCCTACAGGACAGAGTACAACTGCCCCCTCGGGTTTCCAAGGCTCTTATCTTTATGGAAGACTGCCACATCTTTCCACTGTGGAGCCAACTTGATGGCACCTAACAGCAGCAACAAAATTGAGAATTGGACCCGCAAAGGCAATCACTGAGTTGGCCTTGATCTCCACCTGGCTTCTTACCCATTGGTAATCAGTCTCAAGGCCCATGAGGCTTCAGACCTGGTCCAGAGCCTTGTGAGTAAACAGCTCTCACCTTGGAGCTGCTCATGGGTCATGGGTGAGCCTGCCATGGTTCCTCAGCTAAATGCTGACCTCGTGCTTCTTCAGGTAAGCATGGCTTCATCAAGATCTGCTGCCGCTTCCCTCTGAGAATGCATCCTGGGTGTTCAGATTTGCGCTCAAACCCTTCCCTTGCATTAGTTTGGATTCCTTTGAGAGCTGTGGTTGTACCTGTTCCTGCCAATGGCTTTGTCTTCATTTTCTAGAATACTTTCCTCTTTTCTGGAGGTAGGGGCTGAGAATGTTCTAACTAAGTATAACTTGGTGGTATAACTTGGGGACAGAAAGAGCAAGGCCCTAATTGCAATTTTCTGACACAAACCATTGCCCTTATCTCATTTAGTTCTGAGAAAGACCTGGCAATCTGCTCCCATGCGGACTGAAGCCTAGGAAATACCACGGGGCAATTTTACTCTGTCGACTCAATGGCACCCGACAACAAGAGCAACAGCAGCTTCCTAATGCAACATTTTGGAGGTTGTTGAAATTAATTAAACGAATGAATGACGTTGTGTTGCTGTTTTTCTCTTTTAGGTGAAAGAAGAAATGAAAATTCTCACCCAAGATAAAGGTGTGAACTCTTTCAAGATGTTTATGGCCTATAAGGATTTGTATATGGTGAGAGATATCGAGCTGTATGCAGCCTTCTCCCAGTGCAAGGAAGTTGGAGCAGTTGCTCAGGTCCATGCAGAAAACGGAGACTTAATTGCAGAGGTAAGCATTTGCATTCCAAACCTTCTACAGAAAAGAAAACGGCCATAACTTTAGGTGAAGATGATTGTGTCCTTAAGTTAAAAAAAAAAAAAAAAATCCTGTAGCTATTGAGTCAGTTTCAAGCCATGGCCACCCTGTGTGTTACAGAATCGACCCGTTCCGCAGGGTTTTCTTGGCTGTAATCTTTACTGAAGCAGATCACCAGGCCTGGCATCTGTGGCACCACTAGGTGGGTTTGCAGTGCCAACCTTTCATTCAGCAGTGGAGAGCAAACGTTTGGAGCCACTCAGGTCCTTATGTAGGCAGACCCACTGAATGTGCTCAAAGAATAGAAATCTAGAAACATGCTCTGTGGCTCAGAAGTAATCTGGTTACTGGGGTTATTACTCTTCTCTTATTCAGGTGGTCTGTGAATTGGAATGAGACATTCCTCTTTTCAAATCAGCTATTTGAGCTCAAACATATTTTATTATAGAAACACAAATACTTTTCTTTTTGTCCCGTAGCATGTGTTTTTGTTTGTTTGTTTGAGTAGCTCCGGTTGCTGGTTCAGAATGCCAACTGTGGAGGACATCAGCATAATCTGATGATTTAAGTAGTGTGTCAGGTCGCTGCATAAAGCCCTCCTCTACTCAGAAGCTGAATATGAAAATGCACTCTGGAGTAATCTAGATGATGTTTATTTCTCATGTTAGTTCCATTATTAATGCCTGGAGGGGACACCATCCGCAAGATTTACAGAGCTGTCTCTTACCTTTGATGTTAGCTGATTTTTTTCCTCTTCCTGGGCTCAGTTCCCATTAAAGTCAGCGAGATTGAGACTGAGTGGCCAGGAGGCAGCATGAACTCATAAGAGAGCAGGAGCTATAAAATCAAACTGACCCCACTTTAAATTTGAGTCTTCCACTTTCTAGCTGTGTGACACTGGGCAAGTCATTTTATGACTCTTGAGTCTTGGCTTCCTGCCCTTTTTTTTGGAAGATGAAATAGCATTTAGAGAGGTGAAATAACTGGTCTGGTATCATTCAGTGGGTTGGGGGTGGAGGGTGAAGACTATGATTTAATAAAAAGTAGAATGATGATCTGATATAATGTAATGAGTTACTTCAACTAGGATCTAATGTTGGGAGCTAGATAGTTTTATTTTGTTCTGAATCAATAAGTTTTAATATGCACACTGCTTTTCAAAGAATGTGCTTTGGACTAACTTCATGTGTTTTCCAGCTTTGCAATCAAAATAATTTAATTGTGAAGTATGCATACAATAATTAACATATACCACTTGTGCTTTTGGTAGGTGCCCAATGAGTCAATTTTGACTCATAACAACCCAGGTGACAGAGTAGGACTGTCCCCATAGGATTTTCTAGTCTGTAATCTTTATGGGAGGAGCTCTGGTAGCATAGTGCCTAAGGCACTTGACTGCTAACCAGAAGGCTGGCTGTTCAAACCCACCAGCCACTCCTCAGAAGGAAGGTTGGGCAATCTACTTCTGTAGTGATACTGCCTCGGAAACCCAAGGAGGCGTCACTATGAGTCGGGTCCTACTCAATGGCAAACAACAACAACAGCAATCTTTACGGGAGCAGATTGCCCTTGGAGCCATTGGGTGGGTTTGAACCGCCCACCTTTGGTTAACAGCCGAGCCATTGGCCTATTGTGCCACCAAGGCCCCTCAACATACATCATTAGGGTATTAAACTTATTTTTATTTAATACAGTACTGTATTTGCATACACACACATTCACACACATAGACACATACGTATACGTAACAGATCTAAAAACCTAGGTGGTATATTTAATATGAAATGAAATAGCGGTGCTTGTCGATAGTAAACCTTCCTTGCATGTGTCTTTTTAGGGGGCAAAGAAGATGTTGGCATTGGGGATAACTGGCCCCGAGGGCCATGAGCTGTGCCGGCCAGAAGCGGTGGAGGCAGAGGCCACGCTGAGAGCCATTACCATAGCCAGTGCCGTCAACTGCCCTCTCTACGTGGTGCACGTGATGAGCAAGTCCGCAGCAAAGGTGATAGCGGATGCCAGGAGAGAAGGTAACTTCCTGAGTAGAACCTCACTTAGCTCAGGGTTAGCTGAAGACTGTTGTTGTTGTTGCTATGTGCCGTCAAGTCAGACCCGACTCATAGCGACCCCTCCTTGGGTTTTCGAGGCGGCATCACTACAGAAGTAGATTGCCCAACTTTCCTTCCAAGGAGTAGCTGTTGGGTTTGAACCACCAGCCTTCTGATTAGCAGTCAAGTGCCTTAGGCACTATGCCACCAGAGCTAAAGACTGGGAGGAAATAACTATAACTTTTGCTTTTGCATTTGGGATGATTATACATGAATTGCCACTTCTCTTCTTTGCTTTTTATTGGCATCTTTTCTGTTTTCTTTCATCCTTACACGTGTCTATTTTTTTCTTTTCCTCTTTGATCATCCTCTTGGCTGCTTCTGACTTCTTTGAGGTTATTTCTTCTCCATCTTTGGAATCTTATGACATTTCCTTCAACCCTATGTCCCCAACCCTTAACATTACTGCTGGGTTTGTTGTTAGGTGCCCTTGAGTCAACCCTGACTCCTAGTGGCTCCATTGACCAAGTAGAACTGCCCCATGGGGTTTTTTCAGGCTGTCATCTTAATCTTTATGGGAGTGATCGCTAAGTCTTTCTGCCCCTGAGTAGCTTGGTGGATTCGAACAAACAACCTTTTGTTTAGCAGCCACGTGTTTAACCATTGCACCACGAGAACTCCTTTAAACACTACTAGCCATGCTCTTGGGAGCTCTGGTAGCATAGTG